TCGACCTGATGATTGTAGTGATCTAGGCACAACCACTACCTAGACCCCTACACCCTCATCAGCGCCTGTCTCTGAGGATATGTTCGAATGAGAATCTAAAATCTTCAGCCAAAAGGCTCTTGGTCCAGCGATCGCATCGTCATCATCTTCTGATTGCAGCGAGAATACGCAGCGAACAAGACATTATTGACTAACTGTTGGCAAACCTCTAGAAAAGCCTATTTAATTACAGTGAAACTTACAGGGATATCCTGCTTCAGAAGGAATGAGTCTTGTTGTGAAATCAGGACCTCCAAAGCTGCGGCCTCTGCGAAGAAGGTCTGTAAGAGGGAGAGTGAAGTTAGCCAACTGGTACGAAAATCTCTGGCACTTACTGTCATTAGTCAGCAAAGTAAATTTGGCATGTTATTCTGCTACTGAACCATACAAAGCCAGCTTACCTCAGAACTATAATTAAGCCACTAGTCTGCTACTTGAAGTCGGCTTCTGTATAGGAAGATTTGTCCGTAGATTTCTTTTTATGTGTTTTATTCATAGTTATAATTTTTAAAACTAAAGAAGGACTGACACCGAAACGCGTATCGAGGATAAGTGAGGGATTAAAAAGGGCAACAACGCACTTGCCTACTTCATTCATTCATGTGAATTGAGACTCCTGGCAGACAGATAGTGTTACCGGCAAGGACAAAGTAGACTGGAATGGCCATTTCTGGCTTATTAGCTGTCGTCAGCCAGTCATGCCCAGACCCAAGTGGCGTTCCACCCGAGCCGCGAACTCGCAGCCGCTTTGCTCAGAGTCAAACGCCCTTACCATTGAGCCACGAGCTCGTTGTCTTGCCGGGTAAGGTCGAGAGATATTGACACCCATTGATGAACGTTCAGCCGACCGCTAAAGGAACTCATCTGTCCCGCTCTGCGTAAGGTCTCAAAAGAGGCCCTGTGAGCCATAGCAGCTGGTAATGTAGGCAGATACTATTACTGACAAGACCAGCTACTACGGCTGCCAGGCCCTTTGTCGAGACCCCAGGCAGAGCGAAACAGCTGAGTTCCGTTAGCGGTCGGATGAGCGTTCATCAATGACTCCTGACAGAATTCGGCGTAATGGTAGAAGGAAGATCACCGGCCAAAGTGCCGGGCGCATCCATCTCGTTGTACACTGAGGCACAGTGTCGCCCCATTCCCTCTCCAGCTAGTATATTATTGACAGGAGCTTAGGTAAGGCAGCCTGGTACGGCCATTCCCGTCTCCTTCATCTTTATCGTAATTTGATTCCACCCATAATGTACTAGTCGCTCGAGATTGAAATACAAGGCACAACAGGACGAAGGTGTCCCAGAGGGTGATCGATGTGCGCCCTTCTACCATTACTAATATATCCGATCGCAACCGAACGGAAATAGGACTTCACACCAATAGGCCACAAGTTTGAGCCCCAGGCGTCGCAAAAACTATGGCTGGTTGGCAACGGCTAATAAGTCGGAAAAAGCTATTCTAGTCTTCTTTGTTTTTGACTGTAAGGTCATTCTGTCCAGAATTCTTCTCATCCGTCATAAATTCCGCGTACACGGTTTCGCTGCATTTGGACGATAGTCCAGATGATAAAGCCCGATATATCGCATTTATTGATGGCAAAAACGACAGTTTGACAAAGAAGACTTATACTTTGGTTGGCCAAAAGGGCCGGCGGTAGACATGTTCAACGAATTTAATGTTTGCATTACCTGGATCAGCTTTTGGCGTTTTAAATCATCCAGTCGGAGTTGGGCCATTTTGCGAAGGTCATCCCACTCCTCGGCCAGTTGGTCTGTTCTCGCTCTCAGAGCAAGGTCACGATCTGCCGGCGCGCTTGATCCAGCATGCAGTCCTCTGTCGAAAAGGACATCCCGCACATTCTCCTCCAAATTAGCCATATTTTCCATAAGTTTCTCTTGGTCTGAAAGCATTTTTTCGACGTCCTTGAGCACGAAAAATATGTCAATGATGAGGTGAGGTCTAAGCACAACTTGGGCGGAAATCACGTATCAACCGCGATTCCCGGTGAATAACTATTCTGTTGAAACGAACAAGCGCAGTGAATAGACTCCATGCTCAAAATTTGTTCCATGCCATGTGTTAACCAAAAAACTTAATTTTGAAAATGGTATAAAACGTATAACAATTGAATGTGTAAAATTTCCACTCAACGCTTTTGATTATTTTGTATGTGCACCTAAAAGTTGAGTGCACTGTAGGTTTATTCTTAAAATATTCATTTAAATGCGCTTTTTTATGGAGATACAAATGGCTTTATACTTAGATTCTCATAATGAAAATCCACTAAGCTTTCTATAGGCATTCCAGATCTCTTTAAGATTTTACAAATAAAAGATTTTGGCTTGCTTTCGTACACCCTAGATAAAAGGTTTTATCTAATAATAACTATTACTTTACACAGATTGAGTATATTACCGCTACATTTGTCGGAACACTGAGGTCCG